AAACTACTTTTACGGATTTTATCGCGTTTAATTAAGTGATTTTATATTCCTCACGTTTCGGTTGCTTTCCAGCAACCGTGGTCACGGGGGACTGAGGTGATTGACGTTCCGATGTCAAAGTTAACCCGGAGTACCTTCAGCTTTTTAATTATTAATTTTGCTCCGATCTACGTAGAATGAACTAACTGTGTCTTGAAGTCTTGCAGTGGTATGCTTGGGTTTAGTTTTAATTTTATGAATTATAGGGTCCCAAGCAGGTAGTAATGAAGATTTAGAGGCTATACGTCAAGACATTTCGTCCTTGTTACGTCGAAGCTCGACGCCGAAATTAAATCTTCCCAAAGATGAATTTACTACATTGAAAAACATACACAACAGACCAGATCTTACAATTCTCTGCGCAGATAAAGATAATGCTACGGTTATAATGGATACGTCGAATTACAATTTTAAAATACAACAAATTTTATCGGATGAAAGTACTTACGTAAAGGTCAAAGCAGACCCTACAACTAATACGCTTAAAACAACTAGCGATCTAATAAAGAAATACTCCGAGAAACTGAATCTAGACGTTAATTCGATAATACCTGCGTGTGCCAAACCGCCGAAGTTGTATGGGTTACCAAAAATACACACACTGAACGCTCCATTACGTCCAATAGTGAATCAGATCGATTCGCCAACTTACAAATTGGCTCAACACTTAGCAAAGGTACTATCACCACTCAGAGGACATACAAGAGCACACACTAAGGATTCATACCATTTTGTCAGTGAGATAAAAGACCTATGTCTTACTGACAATGAAACTATGGTCAGTTTTGATGTTCATTCTCTATTTACATGCCGTCCTGTTGAAGACTGCATCTCAATTGTAACTAGGAAACTAGAGGAAAACAACATGCCAGCAGAATATGCAGTATTACTCAGACATTGCCTTACATCTGGCTATCTATTGTGGAAGGAACAGTTTTACAAGCAAGTAGATGGTGTTACGATGGGCTCACCGGTATCTCCCATTGTCGCCGATATTTTCATGGAGGACTTTGAGGAGAAAGCCCTGCTTACCGCACCAGTAACTCCAAGTTTCTACAAGTGGTACGTAGACGATACTTTCACAATTTTACCATCAGACAAAGTAACTGCATTTTTAGAACATCTTAATTCCATAAACTCTAAAATTCAATTTACTATAGAGTTAGAAGCAAATAATTCTTTATCTTTCCTAGATGTGTTAGTCATTCGAAATCCTAATAACACCGTAGGTTACACTGTGTATAGAAAAAAGAACCATACAAACCAATAATTAAACGGTGAATCCCACCATCACCCTTCACAGTTAGCTACTGTGAGCAAATCTTTGTTGCAGAGAGCACGAGGGATCTGTGACAGTAAAAAACCTGGCCGCCGAGCTCCAACACGTCAAGCAAGTTTTGCACGACAATAAGCTTCGGATCCCGCGCCTACGTCACAGTGAACGAGTGAAGCCGGCCACAGTCGAGCGAGTGCCTGCTGTACTGCCATATGTCAGAGGTGTCACTGACAAGATTGGCTACATCTTGAAGCGAGCTTCTATTAAAACATTCTTCAAGCCCCCGAAGAAGATTAGTCAGTGCTTACCATCCGTCAAGTGCTATATTCCTCTACAAGATGCAGGAGTATACAAGCTTGATTGTAAGTGTGGTCTTTCATATATAGGGCAAACAAAACGATCAATAAAAACCCGCGTAAAAGAACACATATCTGACGTGAAGCACCAACGTTCCGGAAAGTCTGCAGTTTGTGATCATATCCTAGACGGCCCCCGCCATTACATTAGATTTGATAAACTACAAGTTCTCGCGAAAGAACATCGATTCCTGCCGTGAGGCTATTGAAATTAAAAAACATCCTAATATCAATAGAGAGGGAGGCTGGGTGCTACCACCTGCTTGGGACCCTGTAATTCATAAAATTAAAACTAAACCTACTACCACTGCAAGACTTCAAGACACAGTTAGTTCATTCTGCGTAGATCGGACCAAAATTAATAATTAAAAAGCTGAAGGTACTCCGGGTTAACTTTGACATCGGGACGTCAATCATCTCAGTCCTCCGTGACCACGGTTGCTGGAAAGCAACCGAAACGTCGGGAATATAAAATCACTTAAATAAACGCGATATAATCCGTAAAAGTAGTTTTATTCTATTTATTAGTTATATAGTGCGATTAGCTTGTGAAAGATAATATAATAATAATAAAGTTGTGCATAGCTATGAGTATATACAATTTGTAATGAACTTAAAATAACTAGCCTAAGTGCTTAATATACATATTATTGTATCCTTAAGAATAAAGATAAAATTAGAAAGGAGGAGTAATAATTATATATGTTATCTTGAAATATGAAACTAAGGGGAAAATATATACACATTGTCTATATCTTTTAGTTACAATTTATTGAATCTTTTAAGCTTATCTATAATGGATTTGGTAAATATAACGAAGGATTCAGTTATACTTTGTTTATCCAAGAGTTTCGTCAGATGTTATGGCGGTATACGTAAATTGCTACAGAGCATCTCATGTTTTATTCTATTATACTCAAACCTAGGGCAGTCCCTCAACAAATGAGTAATTGTTTGAGGAGTGATATTGTCACATGGGCAGAAGGAATCAGCGGCGATTTTGAACCTATGCAGATATTCCTTGTGGTAGCCGTGACCCGTTAAAACCCTGAGTTATTTGAAATGATACTTTGGTTGCTTTCCACAGTGCACAAATGTCCGTCAGTTTTGGGAGTAATTCTTTTGTATGCGTTCCTTGTTCAGCGCTTTCATATCTTGACTGCTTAGTTCTCCAAGTGTTTGCTCTCATAGTCCTTTTTACAAAGTTCATCGGGAATTTCGCATAATCAGGGTTTTTATGTTGCGTGGCAGCACCCTTGGCAATCTCATCGGCGATTTCGTTACCTACGTTGCCTGCACGTCCCTTAACCCATGAGAACATGATATTAAGGTCCATTTGGGCCGCCGTGTATATTATATAATGGGTCTTTGCCACAATGGGGTGGGTGTTGGATCTCATTTGGAGTGCGCTCAATACAGCCTGAGAGTCACTCAAGATCTGAATAATCTCCTTTCGGCATGAGTGCATCCTTTTGCCTCTTTGATGTGTTTCATCACCTTGATTCAATCTCCGGTCCAAAGTCCACTCGCAGGCCTCTTTGATCGCTAAGAGCTCCGCTTGAAATACAGAGCAGCTTGTGTGTAGTTCGTCTTTTTTTATGTATTTCTTTTGAGCCTTCAAAGCAGACGAAAGCCGCTCCTACACTGCCATCCTCAAGCTTGCTTCCATCTGTGTAAATTTGAATAAGGGATGTCTCTTGTTCTTGATCCTCTGATTTCAAGTCTGCACAATCAATGCTTATCCTCTTTGAAGGATGTAATAGCTCATGTACGGGAGTGGGTCTTTCATATTGTATATCCCTTGGTAATAAGGTGCTGGCGCCCTGTAGTCGAACTGTCTCAACTTCATGTACCTCAAGGACTTTGAGGTCCAGGGGCGCGAATTGAGCCAGAGCGACTGCCGCCACAGTTGATACAGTTCGAAAGGCCTTGATTGCTTTTATCACAAATCCCCTTTGTGCCGACTCCAAAAGCTTCCTTACATATCGCTTTTTCGCAGCTTGACCCCAGATGCCTGCCGCGTATGTAATTGTAGGCTCAATAATCTGTCAATAGATAGTTTGTACGTTATCAGGATGGGCTCCCGAGGTTGGTCGGGTGTAAATGCATAGTTTGTTGAAAATTCTCATCGCCTTTCCGACAACGTACTTAACATGATCAGCGAATAGGAGCTTCCGGTCGATGATCACACCTAAGAACTTAATGCTCCTTTGAAATGCTAAAGTGTGTCTCTCCATTATAAGGTGGGCTTCCTCCGCCTTGCGCGTGAACGCAATCGCTTGCGTCTCATTGGGTCCGAAGGTCAATTTGACACTTTGCCCCCATTCCGTGATGATTTTCAAAGCACGGTTGGTGTTTGTTTGTAAAGTATTTACATCCTTTGCGGAGACGATAAGTAAGACATAATCCGCAAAGGCTTGCAAATGACATCCACTTGGAAGTTCAGCCTCAAGTAACTCATCCAGAATCACGTTCCATAGAATGGGCCCGCATGCCGACCCTCTGATTCAGCCCTTAGTGTTGCGCTTAGTGACCCGCGCTCCTGCGTATTCTAATGTAACTGTGCGGTTCGTCATATAGCTCTCTATTAAATGAAAGATGTTCTTAGGGCATCGTATTGCACGTAATCTCTCAAATAGTGCGGGCCACCACGCGTTGTCAAACGCGGAGCGGATGTCCAAAGAAACGCTCAGCACCTGTTTACCTTTCTTATTAGCTGCTTTTACGATGCTGAGCGCTGTGTCTATGGCTGCAGTCGTGCTGGTCTGTTCCTAGAAGCCAAACTGACGCTTGGGCGGAAGGAGCCCAATCCGCTATATAGTCTTGCTCGGCTTTGGTATGATTTTGACTGCCACTCCTTTCCACTGTTGAGGGAAATGGAAATTGCATTTGGAATTGAAATTGGAGCTCTAGACACCTGTTCATGATTCCCGTTATAAGTTCTGGGTAATTAATAGTGAACTGTAGGCAAATGTCAGATGTAAGACCATCAATGCCGGGTGCCTTCTTGGGGTTCATCCACTTAAGATGTTCTAAAACCTCCTCAACAGCGAAGGGGGGTTCATCTACTCCATCCGGCTCATTCCCGATTCTGGATCTAAGGTACTGGTGTTGGTGCGTGTCATCATCCAGTGTATCATCATCGTAGAAGTGATCCAAGAGTGCTTGGGCAGTCCCCATTTCGCTGTTGGTGTAGTTGTCACCAATTTTCATGGTGGCTGGTAGTCGCTTGGGTGAAGTGTCCTTCAGGAGTCTATTTGTGAGAGTCCAAACGTTTTCTTTTGTTTGTAGTTCTCAAAACTCCTTAAAGCTCCTGGAAGACTCCGCCCTCAGTTCTTTCGCATATAATTCTTTTTGTTTTTTAACTTCTCTGCCAAATGGTCTAAAGGAAGATTCTGACGTCTCATTCGGTTGAGTCGGTGGTGTAACTGGATGACCTCCTTTTTGAGGTCCGTCAATTTTTCCGTCCACCATTGCGGGCGATGCTTCGTCAGGGATTGGCCTTTCTTTGTCGCCATAGATTCTTCACATGCTTTATGAATTACCTTGCAGATGTCATCAATCAAGTTTTCCAAGCCAGCTGTATTAAGCGATCCGATGTCTCTCTCTAATATGTCTGTGTTGGTCATAAGCGTGTGAAGTGCATCCTTGAATATTCCCCAATTGGCCTTGTTGCTGTTATATTTAAATGTGGAGTTGGTTATTGATGACGAATTTGAGAAAGAATTCCCAATTTCAATCTCGTATTCTACAGCGTTGTGTTGCCACGAGGGGCAGGCGCTGAAGTTGACCTTCCACCCGACTATACGGTCATATATGTATCCATGCGCCAATGTGAGGTCTATTATAGAAGTCCGATCCCTGCCGTGTGTGACGGTTTTAAAAGTGGGTGTGCTGCCGACATTGCAGATGAAGAGGTCATTTGCATATGCCAGCTCCACCACCGCACATCCTCTGGGGTTGTTGGTCTTACTGCCCCATATGTGATGCCATCCATTGAAGTCACCACCTATAATGGTATTGGGGCATCGGGAGGTTTGGAGAAAATTATCTATGAGCTCTAAAGTATTATTGCCATCAGAATCCGGCTCAAAATATGCGGAAGCTATTAGCATTTTTTGGCCGCCGCTCGTGAATTGAATAACGCAAAAATTTGTGTTGGAGTGTTGTGACATGCCTAGTACCTGGCTACAACCTGGTTTGGTGAGTATACAAGCCTTGACTCTGCCTTTTTGACTAAATTGGTATATGTGTTTTGACTAAATAGTGAAGTAACATTTAGGGAACACATTATCTGTTGCTGCAAAAAAGCGTATAGAAACTTGGGCTTCATTCTTCGCACAGTTCACGGCTTCACGAATATTAAGGTAATCATCACTCTGTATAACACGCTGGTAAGGAGTAATCTGGAGTGTAACGCCTTAATATGGTCACCGCACGAAAATGGGTATAGTGCAATGCTGGAACGAGTGCAAAATAAATTTATAAGATACTTATATATGCGCTATTATGGAATCTACCCTATGTATCCATTAATGTACCCAACTTTATTTATTCTGGGTATGGTTGGCTACAACGAGTTGAGGGTAAGACGAGACCTAGCATTTGCCTTATATATTTTTAAAATACTTAGAGGAAAAATATATAATAGTGACATATTGGGGCGAATTGGGCTGTGTGTTCCAGACGGGTACGTATGGAAACGGCGGCGGCCGCGGCTGCTGTCTGTGCCGCGAGCCCGTACCAATTTACTCGATAAGGCACCTTTAACGCGAACGTTACGCATTCTTAATAGAATGGCTGAAGGCATTGACCTATTCTATTGCACCTTGAGTGAATTTACTAGGGTAGGATTGTTTACAATATGTTACAGTTAATGACCACATTTTTGCTATGCATGATAAGTACTACACTGTCGCATTAGGTTTTCTTCCTGTTATGATAGTTGTTAGTTGAAATAAATAAATGTTGAGGCCCTGAATTGGTCGCACCTCATTTCCTGAGCCAACATATGGCTCCGCCAGCAACGCAATTTGATAATCACCTGCCATGAAAAAAATAATAAATTCGTCTAAACTTTTTTTTGAACGGTCAATATTACACTGTATAATTTTTATATTTTTATTGATTAAATCCATAGTCGATTCTGTTATTTATTCTTTCCCTCATGGCTCTCAGTTTTGGACATTCTGGTGACATGGCAGAGTGGCGGACATCCGCCTTGGTTCCAAATTTATCATTGTGAAATGTACAGTTGGCACAATTGACTATGCCTTGTTTTCCGTTATCAGGACATTTGTCCCCCGTGTGATCCTTCCTGGAGCAGTGCGAGCATTGGCTTGTAGTAGCCGTACAGTATTTTTTAATGTGCCTAAACTGCAGACATCTGTGGCACTGTAGAAAGGGTGAGAATTCGCTAACGTGCAGTCGCTGGTAGTCGATGTTAATCTTGCCCTGTTCCATGAGTTTATGGAAGAGTTTGGGCGCCACAAGAAACATTGCATTCTATAGCTCCGAGTTTTTGTTACTACGCCTAAAACAGAGACGCATGTCATCCTCCTCAGTAAAAGCCTCTTTCAATTCTGTGTTCTGCCTCCTGACGATACCAACTATCTCTTCAGCTGGTATATCTTTGGAAACACCCTTTAGTACAATCATTGGCCGCAATCTCTTAACCGGCTCAACGCTAACGTGCTCAGATAATTTGAGTTTTTGTAGGGTGTCGTCACGTTGTTCAGTTGTGTCAAATTCAACCCTGAGTTTGTGATTTGACACTGCCTGAACCCTAGCTGGCGCATAATTTGCAGTTTGATATGAGATGCTCCTCTTAAATGCCTCGATTGCTTCCTGCCGAGATTTGGGGGTTACCTTTGGAGTCACCACTATGGCTGGCTTGTTGACAGGTGGATCGCGGGCTGGTGGCTCAGCAGTCATATTAGGATGAGTGCCTGGCCCTCTGCTAGTCGCAGTGGCCTGGGCGTATGAGGCACATCGTGTCTGCTGTTGAAGCTGCGTGGAGATTTGGCCCTTTAATTTAGCCATCTCGCTCCTAACACAGGCGACAATGTCAGCCTTTAAGTCGCTGTCCATTTTGCTCTGGGATGGGTTGTTATCAGGGGCGAACACTGTTGACATGCTGGTTAGTTTACGTCCACACTTTCTGATCTCCTCGGCTGCTAGGTTGATGAGTTTCTTATTTGCGGCAGTGACGGACTTGCCGCCAGAGACCGCTTTGACAATGCACTCAGTGAATTTTTGGATAGTCGTGACAAAGGTGTCCATGTCGGTTATTTCCTCAACATAGGCCGGCAGGAGGGTGGAGGTGGCCTCACTGGCAAGACCCTTAGTTGTAGTAGCCATCTCGCTAATTAGATACTCCTAATATTAAAAGGCACTCGCCTTTAAAAAAAGAGTAAAAAAGAGTAAAAATTATCAAAAAGATGAACAAAAAAAAATAGTGTTTATATCTCGAAGAGGGTGCTCCCGCTTTAGAAAATCACTTCACTATTAGCACTATAATGTGGTGTCATTTTAGAGTTACAAAGTTCACATACAAAATAAGAGTCAGTTTTAAACCATATGAAATCGACAACTTAGTCCTAGGTTGAAACAATATTTCTCTAGATGCATAGTATTCATTTTTATTAAAACGCCCTCTATGTTGCAGTCAGTAAAAAAAAAAAACAAAAAAAAACAAAAAAAACTGTATAACTATATTGTAGTCAATAGTAGTACATAACATTGTCAATAGATGTCGCCAATGATATATGATAGCAATTTTAGCGTCCTAATCAATTTACATTATTCAACCGCCACTTTTAAAAGTTTTTTTTGTTTAATTTTACTTATTTATTAATTTCTTTAAGGTTTGAGTGTTATTTGTTTGAAGCACTAGTCACAGAATGTTTTTGTACACTTTTATTGAGCTTTTATAGTATAATGTTTTAAATTTGTCATTAGATCACCGTAGGTACACTTATTGCATATTATTGTGATAATTAAGTCTCGTACTATTGAGATAACACTTGCAGTTATAGTCCACATATACACAAAGAACACAAACGTAAAATACACATTTATTTTTTAAAATAACTTTTTACGGAATTTATAAACACAGAGACGATGTTTACACAGGCGGTGCAGCGCCCTCTTTGTGCTTAATAGACATTTAGGTAGTTTTTTTTTTACGAATACTGTTTGCTAGCTACGCCTCAACGTCGCACATGCGGCGGCCTAAGGCCAAGAAAAGGTATATTATGACGTCGACACAGGTGTCATCGTCATCAAAGGCGCCGCCTGCGCTTTTCGGTTTGCAGCCATCGATTTGGTGATCGATGTTTGCAGCACGTGCAAATTAAATGAGTATTATTAACTATTTTTTTTTTAATTTAATGTAAGTTGTATTTAAAAATGGATGCAGGTTAAAATAATTACAAATATTACAATAAAATATTTATAATGATTAAATAAAAATTTACAGTAATAAAATAAAGATATTAAGATATAATGGTTCAATAAAAATATTAAAGTACAAATTTGAAAATTAGACTTACCTAGGTACTTGTCCGCGGATGGCGGTGAGTATCGCGCACATAGCGTTCAAAATAATCACCTCCACATTCTATGCTTAGGTGACACCTAAAACTTAACTGTTAAACGACACGAGATAATACTTGATGATTCATTTCGATTTGATCGAATGCCCAAATTATTTTTTCTTTCAACATGTCACGGGTTTCGAATGTCCGACCAGTATACACAGTCTTTACATGCCCCCACAAATAAAAATCCATTGGTGTGATATCTGGCTATCTGGGAGGCCATGCACAAGCCCCATCACGACCGATCCAGTGACCAGGGTGTTCTCTGTTTAAATAATCCTTAATTTGGTGAGCATAGTACGCCGGCGCTCCGTCATGTTGGTAATACATATTGCGTAGAGATGCAAGTGGTATGTCCTTTAATAACTCTGGCAGAGTGTCGGTGAGAAAACTATGATAGATTTCACAGTTTAATCTTTCTATGAAGAACGGGCCCAGTAACGTTGTATTAATAACGCCTGCCTACACATTGATACTAAAGAGGTGTTGAAAGCTATGCGGTCTTGGTTCATGTGGATTTTCATAGCACCACAAGTATTCATAGTGTGAATTAAATAGTCCTATTCTGTCAAATGTTGCTTCATCAGTCCATAAAATGTTAGCTCGTTCAGCAGTTAGTAACCAGTTACAAAATGTAACTCGCGCTGGTTTATCAGGTTCGCTGAGTTCATGAACACGATGCAGGTGGAATGTGTACTTCCCTTTATTATGTATGACACTCCATGTGTAGTACTGTGACACATTGAACTGTCGGGCTGCCTCATAAGTGCTCGTTGCTGGATTTTGTTCAAAAAACTGCAGTGTCTTCCTGCTCACGTACTGTGCGCCGCGGTGGACGACCACAATCGATTGATACAGGCTGGAATTGCCCGTAATCTCGAAATCGCTGTGCAGTACCTAGCATCGTAGCGTAGCTCGGTGCACGTGAGTTGGGAAATCGCCTTGAATATTCACGACAGTCTTCACTAACGTATCATTGCAAATTGCTAAAATTCGGTAAGCCCAATGGCTTACCGATACTAACGTACAACGTAACGTTCGCGATATTAATCTCACAACGGATGGAGAAACGACGCGAGCGCACCAAAGGTGACTGAAGACACAGGTTATTAGGTCAATTTCAAATGAGCAAGCGCCGCCTCCACACCCCTTCACCCCTACCCCGCCACACGCTTTCTTTTGCTAACTAGGGCTATTACCGTTTAGAAGGTCCAATTAAAATATTTTTATTTTTGTATGAAAATATAAATTGAAGAAATATAATTTTTTTTTATTACAGATGTTATTATCATGATGTAAATAATATATTCCCAAAAGGTCTTCAGTGAATTAAAAATTACCCTGTATAATCGTGTCAATGTATTTCATGTGTAATTCATTGTTACAATCTCATAAATGTGTTCCTTTATCGAATATTAATATAAATTTGTAGCTTATGACTTATAGAATCACCTCAGTGTCAGTCTGTGTTTATCTGACACAGATGTTTTTCTCAAAGGATGTTAAAGTAGACGATTTAACTTTGACATTGCTATTATATGCATTTATCATACCTACAATCGATAGCATTTACATCATCGTCATCATTAAAACAGTAATACACAATAATACAGGGTAATGAAGCAGAAAACGGGCAGCAGAATCTGCCTGATAACAAATCAAAGTAATAAATACTACAGTTGAGAACCCGCCTACCGAGCGTGGCAAATATGGCAAATATCCCTCCTATGAGTCAATATACGTATGAGGCAAATGTTCAGCAGCGGACTTTTAATAGGCTATGATGACTTGAAAAATACCACAGATGAAAATAGATCTTATGGTCATTCCTCGTTGATCATAAACATGTTGGTTTACTGCGGACTCCTCGTAGCATCGGTTGTCATTCACCGACATCTTTTTTTAAAAGAGCCAACCTGAACACGCCGTCCACTTTTGAAAATATTCAATCTGACCTCGCCATCGACTTTCTCAACAATCATACCTTACCTGCACGTTGTACACTGCTGATTGACCAACGGCACTCTTGCGACATACTGATGACGGAAAGTCCATCCAAAATCTCTGAACCCAAATTTCACAAATAAAATTGCAAAACAGCATTAGCAGTACAAATATACAGGATTAAAGTTCATAATCCGCCTGGCCAGAGTGGTCACTTTGAAAAAAAAGGAGTTCTACCACCAAGTAGTATCTTCTACCTATCACTTGTTTTAAAACGAAATATTCTAGTAACCACTTTCAAATTCTAGTTTTCAAAATTTGTGGTTTACCCTTAAACAAAGTAGTATGCATAATAATCAATTATAATTAGTACTAAACTTAAAAACTCACAGCTTATAAGTTGAGGCTGCTGTAGGTAATATGTTAAAAGAGTCTTTATTTTTGATACCTTAAACTTTTTTAAATAATAATAAAAAAGTGACCGTCAAGTTGTTCTAGTGGTTGTAAATGTGACTGCTGATCATGAGGTCCCGGGTTCGAATACCGGGTCGGGTCATAAAAATATCAGTTATTGAGTTTTTCAATCAAGAAACTCTCAGTAGCTGTCCGGAGTCAAGAAGCGATGTCTCACCCCCGTGCCTAAGAAAACACGTTCAGCCGTTGGCCCTGCGCCTGATCTCTCTCCGGTCGTGTTGAATTACGAGTACCGTCCCATCAGACTATTAGAGTGAGGGAATAGAGAGTGCACCTGTGCTTGCGCATACACTTTATAATCCTGTCCTGCGACGATGGTTTGAGCTTGACCGCCGTGACAGAAATTCGGTCTGGAGGACATTATTATTAAGTAAATAATTGTTTTAGAATATTTTAAACTACCTCCATATCGTTCCGTGGGTGTCGTAATAGAAGATAGAGGGAAATAAACCAGGGATGGACAGCGGCGCGGCGTCTTCTTAATAACATTTAAAAGAATCGCCGTCGTCAACTCATCCACCAGGAGTGGTAACGTTAAACACTTGCGACCAACATCTAACAAATGTGGCTAAATATTAAGCTGACAGAACACTTTAATGATGTTGTGTTTCGTATGGTGAGTGTAGAGAACGGAGACCTTCCTCACTGGAAACGAGGCATTCTATCTGTCCATTGTGATTCTTAATCGAGGATAGATCAATTTTTATGACCGCAATACAATAACTATTTACCATCATATAGGAACGTGTGATCGTTTCTCACCCTTATTGTTCTATAAAAAGGCTTCAGATACGCATCTGTCATATTCTTTTTGGCACAATAAAGGACAACTAACTTGGCAGTAGACCTTCACAATTGAAAACCACTTTTTTCTATATTTGCTATAAAAGTATGACATATCTTGAAAAAAATTTAATTTCATTGTCCCTCTCTTTCTTTGTCTTAGGGGAAATCCCCGAAACGAATCATTAATTAATGAAGCTATTAACAGCTTTTTTGCCATTTCTTTAGGCTTTATAAAATAAATACTCGTAATTTACTAACTGCGCAAGGTATTTAAATTTCGAAAAGTATTGCTCTTTGCATAGAAATTACTTCAATTAAAATTTCAAAATATAAAATACAGCTATCAGACGCTTTAATTATACTTTTTTATTATACCTTTGTATTTTTGCTAAGATAAGGGTGATAAATAAGCATACAGTCCACTTGATGGTGCAGACATCTACATTAATCCTTGATTAAGAATCAAAATGCAGATTCTTTGTCACCCTTGAGGACTAAGATGGAATACCTCGATTCCAGTGAAAAGGGTCTTCGGTTCTCTATACTCACTATACG